TGTCTGTGGAAAAGTAAAGAAGCTAAAAAATATGAGTGGATTTTGTGAGCTTTCAATAGTTGGGCTCCTTTCACACCAGATTAACACCAAATTATGAAGCTCTTTGGAGGTTTTTGGAAATGTTTTTGTACAATTATTGCATGTAGGCAAATTATTATGATTGAGAAGTATATTCATTCTGAATTTGAATATATTTAAAAGGACAGTGAATATGCCAGATTTAGCCACAAAGGCTAACTTTATCTTTATTTCCTGGGCAGGTTGACACACGACATTTAATTTAAAACAAATGATAAGAAATGATTAATAGTTGTACATGTTAACAAATTAAAATTACCTTGCAGGATATTGTTTATCTGTAAAGAAAAGAATCTGCATGCTGGGGATGTATTGATAAAACTATTTACAGCCAGGCTGAAACTGATGGTAGATTAACAGAAACCTCCCACATGTCCCAGTGTTCCTCTGACTGAAAAAGACTAAAAACAGAAGAATTATAGAAGCATTTAAATGAGTTATATCTCATTTCTATAATTCAATTTTTTAAAAAATATGTTTATTAAGTTTTTGCAAAGTACAACGTACAAAAACTTATATAATTTGCTATATAAAAACATGTATATAGCAGACAACAGTAAAAGAAAAACAGATGTACTGGTACCAAAAAGAGAAACAACCCAAAATAAACAATACATAAAAATGAGTATGGCAATTATCTAAATAATTGGTTACACTGCACAGTTGGTCATTTACACTTAATGATGATATTGTAATTATAAAAATGTATCGCTATTTCAAGACATTTTTATTCTGTTTAATATTCTGGCGTCATTGTTGTAATTAAATAGAAATTCTCGTAGCCTGTGCGGTTCAAATCACAGGACGCAGGATTAAAATTAATTTCCAATTCCTTTTTTTAGAAAATAAATCCGCTATGAAAAAAAGTCAGATTTAATTTTTAAGGAAGGCTTAACTCTTATAAAATTTTTTCTGTTTAAACTTTGTGTCCTTACTATTGATGGGAATTTAAAAATTGTGTTTTCTCTTCTTTGACTTAACGGAAATGTAAAAATGACAGAAAAATCAAGAAAAACAAAAAAAGAGGGTTTTAATCTGGTGTAAAGTTAGCCTAAACACTTAATAAAGTTGCTTTTTGTCACTACAAATCCAAACTATCCGCCTAAGAACCGGTTAACAGCTTAGATAATTAAAAATATAAATTTTAATTTTGTTATTGTTCACTTAAAGTGTCAAAACTTTGGAAATAACCCCCCCACTGTCTAAAAAGAGAGTGGCTGAGGTAGTTGCAACCTGGGTCAGATAATGCCGGGCTTTCTGAATGACCTGTCCATCGCTCTCTGCCCCGCCGCTGCAGCAGATGGTGGAGGTTTGTAATAAAGCTCCTGCTGCAGGTGAGTGACTCTGTGCCACTGCCTGGTGTTGCCATGTGTTGCCATTGAGTGCATGGTCAGTGGCCCCGGTCCGGGATACTCCTGGACTCACGTTCTCTTTGACGTAATCACTGATCCGACGGATCGAACCCCACTTCGTCCGACACGTAGACAAAGGCTGATCTGATTACTTCAAGGAAGCAAGACTGGATTTTAGGAGTATTCTGAGAGCACAGAAGACTGAAACATGTTGTCTTTTTGTGGTATCAGGTGGAGTGTGTCACCATTTTCAGTTTGCATCTGGTTTTGTTTAAGCTACAAGAAAAAAAATTCAGTTTTTTTTTTATTTATGACACTTTATTTTTATGGATTTGTTTGATTTTAGGCTTGATTAGATCGGTGTCAAGACTGAGGCAACATTCCTCTGTGGCCTTTCTTTTTGTTGACATTTTGACCCAGCAGTTCACGATAAGCACAGCTTGGTGATGTTTCTCGTGACTCCATTTGATTCAGATGTTTTCTGAATCCAAATACCCAATAGAACCCACAGCAACACAAAGTATTTGCTCCCTTGTAGATTTCTTCTGTTTTTACTTTTTCTGTCACACTTACATGTTTAATAACAGACAAAGAAAATAATCAAATATAGTTATTTATTCATTTTTTTATTTACTAATGTTGAAAAATGCAATATAACCCAACCTACAAGCTGGTGAACATCTTCGTAGGATTATTTTGATTCCATCTTGTTGGATGCTTTGTTTTAAATATCGCCATTTAATCCCAATAAATTAGCTCTTAATTGGGATCTATTGTGAGAAATTATCTTTTTGTTTGTTTGTAATCGACCATCTGGATCTCAGCTGCTTCTAAAAACACACCTACATGGCTTTTGGCATTAAGTTTATGCTTTTTTTGCGGTTTCAAAACTTTCCCGATTGCTGAATCGCGTTCAAAGGGCACTTCTCCAAAAGCAGGAAGCGGACTACAACCCAGAGCATTGTGGGTAAATACAACCAGTAGAGGGAGTAATGGCTTTTTCTTTAAGTCAAAAGACAAACTTCGTTTTTGTTTACATTTCAAGAAGGAAGTGTCGTCTTTGAAGGTTTTTGAGTCGTTTCCTTTTGTAGTTTATGGTGCAGCGCCCCCACAGGCGAGGAGGGGAACAGGTTTCTAATTAGTTCGGATCATTTGATACAGTTCAGTGTGAAAGAGCACCAGCTAAAAATGGAACAAATGTTGCAACTTTTGTACCAAATCGAACCGAGTCCATAGGTGAAACCGGCCTAAGAAGGGAGAGAAATAAATTTTTAGTTAAAAATAGATTGAAAATTTTAAGTGTGACAAATAGTTAAAACAGATACAGTGTGCATGGAGCAAATACTTTCCACATCACTGAATGTTTGTCAACCCAAAATGTCCATTGCTTTACTCATTCTGACCTTAATATGAGGTTTAAACATGAGGATTATGATCATAAACTCATATTTGCCGTAAAGTTTGGATTTCAGGAAAGTTATCTGAACAGAATGGAGTAAACAAGGAATGGACTCAGTCTGCAGCAGAGACTCCTGGTGAACTTTTATCCTGACCATTTTGTTTTCGCTCCACAGACTCAAGACATGCTGAACAACCTCGAGTCAACGTCCGTACGCATCGTCAAGCATCATCAACCTCCCTCCTCCTCCGGCGGCCGGACCGCGCCCTTCTTCCAGCCCCCGCAGCCGCCGACCCAGGCCCGGCCGCCGGCCGCGGCCAGCAGTACCCCGCACCCCGACCCGAGCTGCGGCGCCAGCCAGGACAGCGCCGCGGACCTGCGGATGGCCACCATCCCGGAGGACATCAGCAACGACTCTCACCTGGCCGAGGAGGCGCGGCCGGGCGGTTTCACAACCGCAGGAGTCTCCTCGTCGGCTACGAAATCCTCCTACGAGGATCTGACCGAGCAGAAACCATCAGCGAAGGAGCGGCGGCGCCTCCAGAGGCAGGAGCGCCTCGACACTAAGGAGACAGAGTGCTGAGAAAACCACGGCGCCGCCGCCGTCCTGATTTAGAAAACCTCAAAAAACACGTGGAATCGTGTAGGTTAGATTTGTTGAACAGAACCGCTTCTTCCGTGCCTTTTTAAGATCTGGTGAATTTTGAGGGATTAAAACGGAAGGGGATTATGGCCGCCGGGCGAATAAAAGGAATTCTTACTTTAATCTGAATCAAAAGATTAAAGTCAGAATGTTATTTAAAAAAGCCGAAAATTTGAGGTAGAAAGTCGGAATTATGGAAATCTAGATTAATATCAAAAAAGTTTGATTAATGAGATCAAAAGGCAAACATCTTTTTGTTGTTTTCAGTGGCCGTTTTCCTTTTCCGTAGATTAAGGACCAGATTTTGGACAATCTGTCACTAAACTTTTCCACATTTCGTCCCATCAAAACCACAAGCTTTGATGTGTTTTACTGGGTTCTTTTATGACAAACCATCACTAAATGATGCATCATTGTGAAGTTTTATAAAAATAACTTGCGCAATAGAAAAAGTGTTTTATCCACTTTTAACCAAGTAAAGTGAAAAATAATCGCCTGTGATAACTGTGAAAGAGAGTTGACCCAAAACAAGCTGCTATATGTTCTGGAAAAGTCGCTTGTCAGTTTTGCTAAGATGTTTTCGCCAGACTAAAAATCCTTGGTAATATTTTCTTTTTGCTGTGAAAGTGCTTCACAAAAAAAACAAACATAAAAACAAGAAGATGCAGGTTGATGGAAATTGTAGCGGTCTTGTAAAGAAGTCTTTAAAATGATCTGTAATCACACCTGACTGATTTTTAGAACAGGCAGAAAGTGCTGCCCCCCGATGTGAAATGCTGTGGTGGACATGTTTCTGAATATAAATGCATGCCACACTTTTCAGATTCATAAAACCCTTATAAAATACACTAAAGTTTGTAGTTGTAACATTACAAAATGTTTTTTTTTCTGCATTAAGCACAATTTAGTTAATACTTTTAACATTTAGTTGCAAACCCTCAGCTAATCTTCCCAACGTATCTTTATGCATAAAGATACGATTAAACATCTCCAAAAAAAAACTTTTCTTTGTATTTGTGTGCTTCTAGATCCTCTTATCTAGTTATTTCAGTGCATCATGTTACATATCCGTCACTCTGTGAATGGGGGATGCGATTGTTGGTCTTATTGAGGTTTGTTTTTTAATAAAAGCACTTTTTAAACACTGGAGAATTTAAGTTTTGCACACAGTTGTTTTTCTGTGTATTTGAGCCTTTTACATGTATATCAGCAACAGCAAGTATTTCACTGATCTCATGGTGTTTTTGCTTCCAGTTGTTAAAAATAAAGAACCTTTTCTTCTCATTCCTCCATGAGTTTCCTGCTGAGCGCTGCTTGTGCTCATATCTTCTGTTTGGTTTTATAAACTCGTGCCAATGTGAGCTCTGCACATTCACCTGTTTGGTGCAGACTCGTTAAGTTACCTGCCGTGTCGCATTGTAAAGCTGTACGTTTTATTGTGTGTAAAAATAAAACATTTTGCATTAAATATTGTGTGTCATCCCTTTTCTACGTTTGAGTGTTTTTGCTTGTATGAATAACATCTTGGTAAGAAAAAAAATCTTTATTGTTAAACATTTGACTTTTACAACTGTGTTAGAAACAGAAGAAAAAAGTAATTTTTCACCAAAAAAATGCAGACGTTTTTGGATTAACTTCTGTAATTTTCAGGAACTTTCTTTTGGATGTTTGAGTTTGAAACGTGTTATTTAAAAAAAAATTGGATTAAATTAAATCTAAATTTTATTTCAAGAAAATCTAGGACATTTCTCATTTAAAAGTCAAATAAATTTGATATATAAAAATTGGCATCTTAAATGTCCATGTTTTTTCTAGAGAATTTCTGATTTTTTTTTTCTAGGAAATGTTAAACTTTTCAAACTCAGAAATTTCTGTTTTTGTAGAAAATTTGAGATCTCAATTTTGGAACTTTTTAGCAAATTTTCAACTCAATTTTTATTTTTTTCTAGAAAACATGAAATGTTTAAAAAAAAATTCTACCAAATCTTCAACTTTTACAAATTGAAATTTTAAAGCTATTTTCTAGAAAATGTGCAATTCTCAGTTTCTGAATTTTTAAAAACAAATTTGCAACTCAAAAATTTTTTTTTTCTAGAAAATTTCTTGAGATTAATTTAAAGATTTCTAAGTCCTTGCCACCCCTTTCTATCCACAGTGGTGCTAATACTTCACAGTAGAGTTTTGACTCCACTTGCTGTAATTCCAAAGAATTAGCTAATACTTTGGGAAGTCTAAAGTCCACTGCTCGTTTTTAAGCTTTCCAAGACGTTTTCTGCTTCATGAGTTGCAGAGGAGGCTGCTCTCTGGGCTACTGGTGTCCACGTCTCCCCAGTAAGGCAGAATGAAGGGCAGATGAGCCACACGGCTTTCCAGTATGCTCCAGAGATGCTGCGCCACAAACTGGTTTCCCTTCTCTGAAAGGTGGAGCCCGTCAGACAGGTAGGCGGTGAAGTCCTGGACAACATTTAAATAATTCAGTCATTTCAAGACAGCCAATCAGACTCTGGCAAACTGAATCTTTCATTTTCATCCATTAACCTCTTGAACAAACTCCCAGGAACTGCTTGAACGTGTGGATAAACCTTTAATGTATCAAATACAGTTACAGATTTGTACCAGCTCAGTCAAAAATACCTGCATGTTTGACTAAAATATTGGTTTTGTTTTCAGGAAAATACTTTATATGAACACAGAAAGTCAGATTCTGAGTATATTGTATATAAATTAACATTTTTAAGTGTCTTGATGGTGCCTTGAAAGATTTTTTCACATTTTGGTTTTTGACCAGTGCTGCCCTCTGCTGGGTGGCGGCCAAACTAAAGCACTAAAAGAAGATCTCTGCTGAGACTATTAGATAATTGATTACAGCTCATTTCAAACCAATAAACCATTAATTGTTTGTGACTCTAATGAGACAATGGAAAAATGTACTGCATGTTAATTACAGCCAATATTGCACTCACTTGTCCGTCTTTCTGCATGAGCGTCCAGAGGTCCAGGACGTCCGACCCGCACTGACCAGCCGCCTGAACACATGCCTGAGCGTACTGTCCCGCCACCGAGTTGTGCCGATTGAGAGGACATCCTGGTGGAAACACAACAGGAAGCAATCGGGATCAACACAGGAAACAAGGAACAGGACAACCCAGAGGTCCGGAGGTTACCTTTGAGGATGCACTCCTTCTCCCAGGCCGGCTCGTGAATCGGAGGAGGAGTGATAAAGATGACTTTGTCTGCTGCAACACCAGCTGAGGTCAGAAACCTGCTGATCTCCTTCAGGTTCTCTGAATACTCCTTTAGAGGGACGTGCTGCTGTGGGTTCTTATCTAAAGGAGACAGAAAACTTCTGTACCCAAAACTTATGTACTTTTTAAAGAAGTAAACCTGAAGAAAGCAGATAAAACTCTGGACTCCTTCAACTGTACCTTCCAGCGAAGCATCATTCGCTCCAAAGAATACGGTAACAGCTGCTATGTTATTTTCTGCTGGATTCTGGCTGCTGATGAGGCGAGGAAGGACGATTTTTGCCCATCTGGAGTTATAACCAGACAATCCTCTGTTCACAACATCACATTTCCTAAAAACAGAATGATTCAGATTCACAGATCTATCAAATATATAATTAACAAGATGTGTTGAAATTTATTTTGTAAAAATTAAGCGACTTATGACAGGGTTTAAAGCCCATTTGAGCTCCAAAATGAAATCAGGTCAAATAATAATAATACTATTATTATTATTGGCAGTGACTAATCAAAGATAATTCCGCTAAGGCAGAACAGTTCAAATATTAAACCCTATGCATATATCAACATTTGGAAATATGTTGACATTTTATGACAGTTTATTTATTTATTTTTATTTTTTAAGTAGCCACTTTAAACATATTTCACAATTTATTAAAACAAGAAAACAGCAAAGCCACTTGAAAACTGTCCGAGATTTATTTAAGAAGTTCTAAATAACGTCTGACGGTAAACCAATCACGTCAAGCGTATTTTAACACCGGTTATCTAGCTTACGAGGCGCACTTGAATGCACCATGAGCATTACGCCGAGGCTGTAAACCACTGTGTAAAGGCGCAATGTCCAAAGAAACAAAAGTGGTGGGGAAAATAGCGAACTCATCATCAAAATTTGAACATTGACAATAATTGACTTCATTATGTGAAAAACATAACTAAAGAGCACCTTTATTTAAATATATTTTACAATTAATTAAAACATAAAACTAGACAGTGAAGATGAAAATGGATACAATAAAAGTACAACACAACATTGGAGAAATTTTATCGTAAATCAGTCACTTTAAATTTGTTTTAATATAATAATGTCGTGTACGATGTGTACTTGAACGCCCCACAAGGTTGTCGATGTCACCGTAAGACATCGTGTAGAAGCGCAATGTCCAAACAGAAATGAGGAAAAACAGCAGACTTCTCACCAAAATGTAAACATTTACATGTATAAAATATACATCTGAAGGTTTTATAAAGTCTGCTACAATTAAAAGAGGTCGAACAAGTTAGCAAGTTAAAGAGAATAAAGCTTTCTGGTTTATCATTATTCGCATTTTGTTGTGACAAACTGTTTTTATACAGAACAAATCTCTGATTATGGAAATAAATGAAGAAATCGTTGAATCTGTCATCTCCTCACCTTGCAAGTTTATTTGCAGTTTCTGCTCCCCATCCACTGGGTTGAAATGAAAACTGAAACAGCCACAAACAGAAATGTTACAGGACTTTTGCAGGTGACGCTGAGCAAACAGCAGCCAGAAAGGCACTTCGCATCATCACCAACCTGCGTGATGGAGTCACCAAATAAAACGACTTTAGGCCAAATTACTGTGCTCAACTTAGACATGATTCAAAGCTTCTCCTTTTATTTTCTTCTTCCTCTACGGGGGTTGGCAAACAGCTAACAGGCGAAACACTGCCACCTTGTGGATTAAAGTTTATAATCTGGAACAATAAATACTATGATCTGTAATCTGACAATTTAGATGCCTCTGTATGTGTCTTTATATAGTTTGAATGTGTTCTGTGCACATTATTGAAAACTTATTTCATGTAACTCTTCCCTGTTGTGTAAAAAATTTAAGTCAAGACTTGTTTGATCAAACTTTAATCGTTATGTAAAAACATACAGTAGCAACTGTATCAGTGTTATTACTATGTTTTCACCACTATAGTTTTTTTTATTACATTTCTACTGATACAATACTACTATTACGACTACTACTACTAATACTAATGATAATAATGATAACTTGTTATTATCTAATAATGCCCAAGGTCTAAGCTGTTTGGGTTTTAAGACTTTAGATTTAAAAATGTATGTATGTTTAAAGATAAATAAATATTTTTTTAAAAAATTACAGTGGACAATAATAATCACAAATTATCCCTACTTACTTTTCAAATTCTTCTTTTTTCTTTTATTTTCAATTAATTCACCCTCGATAATAACTGTTTTGATTATTAAGATTGAATTGCTTGAATAATTAACGAGAGAACATGCACACATTATAGCAAAGGTAAAATAAGGAGAGAAAATACCACGGGTTATCTATGTCTTTTTTATTCTGCATCACTCTTTTTGTCTTCCCCTTCGCATGCTTTTATTTTGAAGGAGGCGTCTGTTGTCCTACACTAAAAACCTTCCGTGTGAAACAAGAATCTCGGTTAGGATCCTCCAGGATTTAACTCTTAATAAAGGTTAGCTGGCACTAAATTAATTATAAATATTATTAATGAGTGTTTTTACTTGATGAACTGCAGTATGGTTGTGGGATGTTTTGTCTTTGACCGGAATATTTGTAGGATTTGAAGCTAACGGTCGCCCAACGTTTACTCTCGCGCTCAGATGTAAGCTGCACGTGAAGACAGAACATCATCATCATTTTAAAAAGAGAATTTGTCGTTTTTTGTTTTAACCGGATCAGATTGAGCTTCTGGGTTTTCCTATTGTTCGTGAACCTTGATGAACCGTATCGTGATTTCGGAACGGAACGATGATCCGAAACTGTTTTTACTGGCTTCGGCTCATTTAAAGCAGACACGCCGCTTGACGTCCAAAACAACCATTTATGACAGTCAACAGTATTTTGGACATGAATTAGATTTATGAATTACTGGCACCTATTTATTTTAATAGTTATAACGGAAACAAGTGAGCAGTCTTTGTAGTCACGTAGTTTATCTGTGTTCTGCTGCATTAAGACAGGGTTTGTTACTTTTTCTTGTCAACTTTTATTTTAAGTTTTTTATATACATATTTAAAAATCTCTTTGCTATATGTATGCCTTGTAAATGTGAAATGATGTCCAGAGAAAGCTGTTTAATGTCATGTTCTGTGTCTTTGAGCAGGATGCTGCGACGTCCCAAACCGACAGACTCTGAGGCGGACCTCCTGAGGGAGCAGGAGCGCTTCCTGACCTCTGGAGCGCCATCGGCTGCCTCTATGGTCCGCCGTCCCGACAAAAGGAGGGGAGAGGCTGGAGACGCTCAGGGAACGGACAGCAGCGAGAATGAACGAAATCAGAAGGACGTGGTCACCATAGAAGGTTGAAAATGAGCCTTTGCTATTGATATTTAAAGTTCTATTGGTAGAAATATTGAACTTCTGAATGTTACTGCTGCAGATCTTCCAGACCAGTTGCCCTCTTTAACACCAGCCCCTCCGAAGAAGTCTCGATTTAAAGCCAGTCGTGTAACTTTTGAGAATGACGATGCTGGAGAAAGGCTGGATAGACATGATACCCACATCAGCGCTGTTCTCTCCAGGATTGTGGTGAGTGTTTTTGACAAATCATCAGCGTCCAAACTTTTTGTCATGTAGGCCAAAATCATTGGGTCAAAATAAAAAATGTAAGTTCTCATCAAATATTTGCACATTTTTGTACTGAAAAAGGCATCTACTGTTGTTTTTAAATTTTAAGCATCAGTGTTTTTGCTTTGAGCCTCATGAAGTTGTTTACTTGAAGGAGAGAGACACCAGCTGTGCTCCAATATCTCTACCAGCGTTTACAGGCCTGGCTTTTCCGAAGGTTCTGCACCGCTCAGAAACCAGCACTCAGGTATTGTCCCAATTTCTTATAAATACCTAAATACAAATTACTTTACGAAGTTCTTTTGGTCTAGTTTTTCAAATATCTTTGTATACCTGAAGTAAGATAAAATTGTCAAATAAGTAACTTTTCAGCAAGATAGAGGATTTTGTTTTTAGTCAGTATCGCTTTAATATTGATTGAAATAAAAACAAGTTCCACTGGCAGATTATTTCACATATAGCAAGATATTTTTCCTATGTTATAAGTGAAATAATCTGCCAGTGGAACCAGTACCTTATTTTTATCAATATAGATATTTGCAGTAGAAACTACTTGGTTTTGCAGTGCATACATCAGTTTGAAGTAATTTTTCTTGGTTTGTCCAACAGTTTCTAAATACATTTACTGGTTGGTAAATGTAACGTGAATAATATATTCCCAAACAAAATTGAAATGTATTTACTAGAGATGAATATTTTGTAAATAAATATTATAACATCTGTAAATGAGTTCCCAAAATGTGTAGAGGTCAATTTGGACTAAGTACCTTTTGCAAAGCATATTTACACAAATAAAGTGGATTTGGTTCTGTCCTAATGGACCTCCAGGTTCCGTCTTCGTCATCCAAAGGGAAGAGGAGCATCTTTGCTCGTCAGATTGCAGCTCAGAGACTAAAAGAGGACAAAACACTGAAACCATCTTCAGCTGAACCCAGAGATCAGATTCTCTGTTCTGATCCAGGTGAGTATCATTAAAATGTAACTCCCATAAAAGCTGCTTCCTTTCACTAAGTAGCTCCTCTTTACTTACATATATTCCTGTTATCAGGATTTGTAAGAGAGCTTGAAATCCTTAAAAATATTAGCATTTTTTTATAAGGTGTTTTCAAGGTTTGGAAAGTGCTTTATATTCAAGCCTCACAGTTTTGTAATAAAGTTTAATCTACTGTTTGATTAAAAGCCTAAATTTGTGAAGCATTACAATGTGTTCCAAATTATCATGCAAATTGGATTTAACCCTCTGAGGCTCAAATTACTTGCAAAGACTAGCTAAGTAGCACTGAGCTGTTGCAAATCTGCAACATCTGCCTGGAGAGGGTTAAGTGTCATAAAGATTAATTTTTTTTATTGTGCTATTAAATTTATAGATGGTGTTGTGTGTCAGGGCTCTTTTAGTCACTATAATTAATTTCAGGGAGCTGGTTGATTAGTTTGTCTGGTGAGCTCGATGAAAGAAGGATGTTCCACATTATTAAGCAGGCCACAGGCCAGATATTTACATACACCGGATAAAAAGACGGATTTAATCTCACTGTCTCAAATTAAATCAGTCTCAAATTTATTGTTTTAGTTTATTTCTGTTTGAAAAGAAAACTTGGTGAGAAAGTTTTTATTTTATTTTATTTTTAAATATTTATCATTCCCAATTGATTTGTGTAATTGAAAATAAGATTGGCTTATATTTTATATGTTAAACAACATTATTGAAATGGGGATTTTGTTGTTGTTGTTAAATTTATTTTGTTTTCAGATCTCGTTAGTGTACAGGACGTGAGAGAAACTTTTCAAAACTTAAAATTTTGTCATGTTTTAGTTTTACTGTAGAATACTACCATGAAATATTATAAATTAAGCTAATTATCAATAATGTTTTTTATCTTCAAAGTTTGGTGCTGGAAAAGTTTGAAAACTTATCTTGAATGTGCTTGAATTTTACTGTGAGAATAGTGTCTGAACTATGTGTAAATGCAATTGGGTTAAGGTTCTAGGTTAGTGTCCGGTGAAGGCCTTCCGGGTCCGGACAGTTCTGGAGAAACCTTGAGGATCCACCAGGAGAACCAGGCGAAGCTCCATGCGATGTCCAAATCTGAGATTCTAGAGGAGCAAACGAAGCTTTTATCTCGCCTTGGTGAGAAGTAAAATTCTTCTGAGATAAAAATATTGTCTGCATTGAATTAATTTCCAGAAACAGATTTTATTGACGGTTAAATCTCCTTCCCAGATCCCAGACTGGTGGAGTTTATCAGATCTCGTAAAGCTCAGAGTGCCGTGTCGCCTGGTTCCCCGTCTGAACACACAGCAGCAGCAGATCCATGCAGCGAAGAAGATCCTCCTGCTGAACACCCAGAGAGCGGAGAATCCTGCAGAACCGCTGCCGGGTCAGTTCAGAGTCCGGCGGAGGCGGAGATGGAGGAGGAAAGCGAGGTGAAATCACCACCTTTAACTGGTAAGTTTTTACATTTTAGTTTAATAATCTTCCACTGGTAAGGTCCAAAAGTAACAAAATGTGTTAAACGAATAGGTTGCAAAATTAATAACATACATGTTATAATTAAAATTATATTATTTAATTATATAAGTTTTTTTATTACCTTAAATGCAAAATTTACGTATTTTTTGCACAGTTTTGGCTTAAATGCTGAATATGTTGAGTCTGTATACTCCAGGTAATGATTAATCAATTACTAAATTAGTTCATCATGATTGATCTGATTAATCATTCCAGCCCTAATTATTATTAGATTATTACAGATTGATTTTTCAGCAAACGTTAACTAAGCTGCTAGGTCTAGTTAGCTAAACAACAAATCAGCTCATTTGTAAAGTATTTGCTTCATTTAGAAAAAGTTCCTCTTGTATATTAAATATTTTTTTGTCTGCTGGGTTTTTTTGGCTGATTTTGCGTTGATATGTTTTAATTCAGAGGAGGACCTGCCAGTGAAACCCCAGAAGCAATGGATCCACATGGACACTTTAGAGCCGGAGAAGTTGGAGTGGATGAGAGATTTGCCTTCACCCAGAAAGAAAGGAACCAAAAAGGTACTGGACTGAAATTCTT